TTTAAACAATTACTCATGTTAAATAATTACTCATGTTTTGGTCTCACTCTCGCACAACTCAAACACAGTTTAGTGTATTATATAGAGGATCAAGGATATGGAACAGTCTTCCCACATCACTGTCAGATCTTTCTAAAGAACAATTTAAACGGAGAGTAAAATTGCTGCTACTAAGTTGTTTGAATTTTCAGTAAGGATTTGTGGTCTAAAAGATGTTTTAAATTGTTTTATACAAAGAAATTTTGTTGTTTTTTTCACACAATATTATATAGATGTTTGAAATGGTGAAATATATTTGTTTTCATGGAGACTGCCACTCATCAAGCCCCTTAAGGGTTTTTCGGCAGTTGTCCATCACATTTTCTTTTTTAGTGAAACATTATTCTGTTTTTACATTTTTGTTGTGAAAATAAAATTAATAAATAAAAAATAAAAAAATAGTTAAAAACCTTTATTGAGTATCTACATGAGAAGCAGAATTTGGGAAAAACCGCTAATGAAAAAGGTTGGTCCAAATTTTAAATTGTCTCCCATCTGTAGTTATGCTGCTATAAGCTTAGGCTACTGGATCACATAAATACCTCCTTTTTTCATTTTGCTGTAGTTCCATCTGACCTGGTTGTGTTTCAATGTTAAACCATCCTGGATGAAGGCCTTAGCTGGACTGCTGCTTCTAAGACCTTCTATTATAGATCATACAGTTGGTCTGTTTTTTTCCCTGTTTTGTCCATTTTCTCCCTTAGACATAGCTATTGACTCAGTTTTTACTGTGGCTGAGGTTTAATGGGGGATTTAATGGAAACATGTTGATTTTTAGCTCCCAGCTCTCCTTCCTAGCTCCTATCCTCTACCTTTTGCAGGGTGAAGAACACTATCTAGAGTAGAAAAAGAGCTATGGTCTTCTATACTGAGTAAAGACATACTTACGCCTTCCATCACGCCACTGACACGCATGTAAATAGTTCTGGTCAAATTGAGAGACAGCTGTCCTGAAAAAAAAAAGAAGTCAAATATGTAGCAAAGAGCTAATGTTCTACGTTCTTAAACCAAAAAAAAAAAAAAAATGAAGGTTTGTACATTAGCCTGTGTCGTACAGTGCATTTCACAAAATAATTAATTTGTATTCACCTCTGTGAAGTGGGCTGTTATGGAGGACCTAGAGTGTCACTGAAATATGAAAAAAAAAGCCATATCAAATTTAGAACTTAAATTAAATGGTTTTAAATCCAATTTGATAACCATTTTAAAATTGCAAATTTTAAACAGAATTATTAAAGTGGATTGTATGTTGTATTTATTAATCTATTATCAAAAACTGAATCTAAAAAAAATATTTTCAAATCCTATTTCTAAATGTAAACAAAAAACAAAAACAAAATTTGATTTATCTGATTTTAAATACCTTTCTTAATCGTACATTTAAAGAGGTTATTTCTTATTCCATTTCCGTTTTCTTTTTAAACTTGTATTTTTCAAATCCTTCTGGAAATTACATTTTCTTCTTGCTTAACCATCTCCATTTACCTTTTCCGCGACTCTTCTTGTCCCACAGCACTCTGGAAATCACTTAAACTCTCTTATTTGTTAGATTATCACACTTGGTTAACAAAATGACCAATGAGGGACCTGGTTACTTCTGAGGTGCAACTGTGATTGGTTAAACTGGTTTTTAGTATGTTCAGGGACCAGAAGGATCACAGAAAAGATAAATAGGGCAGATAAAGCAAAAACATAATTCAATTTCAAAAGCGATTTGAAAATGCAAGTAGAAAAAGAAAATGGCAAGGGAATAAGGAAAAGCCTTTTTTTAATTGTGTGATTATTAAAGAAAAATAAATATTTATGATCAGATTTATGAATTTTGGTTTTTAAATCTCCATTCGAATATTTGAAAATGGGTTAATAAATACAGTTTACAATTAATCCTTAATAATTCAATTTAAAATGTGCAATTTGAAAATGCTTTTCAATTTGGATTTCCAATTGCATGATTTAAATATTACATTTTAAATGGCTGGGGTTTTTTTTTCAATAACTGTCTTGGTCCTCCATAGGCTCTTCTGTGTATTTTCATCATCTACACTGTTCAAACAGGAATGAGCACAACATCCATATTTTCTAAATAGCCTTTGTTAACAAATAGATGCATATATTTAAACATCCATGGCATCTAGATAAAAGGTACAGTGGACGAAATTCTTTTAGGTTTGAGTTCTGGGGCGAACATATTTTACATTGTCTTTACATACTTTCATGAATAATCATTCTACAAAAAAAATATTTTTAAATGTACTAATATCCACATTAAATTAATTTATAAGTTATTATTAAAGTAATTATTTATCTATTATTTCACTGAAGACACCTAGATGACTTGCAGAGACACATTATTTTCTCTTTACCCCATATAAGACAAAATCTAGTTCTGAAAAGAGCATAAATTCTGTATTTGTTAGTATATTGATGTGCATAATTAACCAGTGTTTCTGTTGTCAAGTAATTGTTCAAATGTGAAAAATGCCACCCTCTGGAGAAAAAAATTGTAGGGGTGGCCAATGATTGGCCCCCATCTTGCTCCGCCCCTGGGTGTGTGGCAGCAAAAAGACAACTAAAGCATACAGAACTGGGGTACCAGGTTCAAATGTGGCCAGCAGGGGGCAATGCTCCAGTTACAGTTGCACTTCTTTAATTGTATCTGAGATCATTTTCACCAACTTAACATTAGTCAGAGTTAACCGAAACTTTAACAAAGAAATCTGTGCAACACTGGATCCTAGTCTACACAAATACTCATCCAGACACGTTACTGGTAGTCATTCTTTCACAGTAACAGAAGAGGCTCTTTAAAAACCTTTGTCAGCTTGAAATGATTCACTGCCCACTTCTTAAACAGAAAGAAAGATAAAATACCTCATCACACCCCCGAATGAAATGGGAGTGACTCAACATGACTGGTACCCAGATGTTAATATGCAGTCTAAACAGGTGCAGACAGAACCCTCACACAGCAGATTTATCAGCACTTGTTCAACTCACTAAAGTGGCTTAAATTTTTCAGATGAAGCTGTTCTCCTGCCAGCATGAAAAAGCCAAAGGAGACGCCCTGTCTGCCTTTCTGGAAGGTATCTTAGACATTGAAAGGCATGTGAAACCGGAGAAAGCTTTGGACAGTCTGTCCTCAGGAGCACAAAGAAACACCAAAGTCAACATATCCAAATAGCTAGCAGATGAGGAAGCTGTGCATTCTGAGCCAGATCCTCATTAAATATTATTTAGGTAAAAATATATATATAATTGCTCACTCCAACTGAAGGTTTTTATATGTAATTGTTCTTCCAAAGAATGTGATTTATATCTGTTATAATAGTTCCTTCTACAGAACTTTGTAATCCTCACACCCACAAAAAAAAAAATAAAAAAATTTAAATGAAGAATTACAGAACGTGACTCAACTCCAAAGGGAAAAGTTTTTTAAAGAGAAGACCATAAATCAACTTCCTGAAGCTTTTTTATTGTATAACCTATAAAGAAGCATTAAAATTGAGCATTTAATGTTTCTCAGAATGATGTCACAAGGAGCCTCGTAAGAAGGTTGAACACAATAAAATACACAGATGCACAACAAAAAAAAAGCATGACAGGATAATAAATGCCCATTATAAAAGCTCATATCATCTCAAAGTTTTTTTTGGGATAAAATGTCTTTATCTGCTTTTTAAACCCATCCAGAGAGTGCAACCTCCAGGGGAGGATAAGCACTGCATTCCACAGTCTGGGTAACTAAAACGTCTTGATTCAATGACCTATGACTACAGGAAGACGTACGTATTTGAATCAAACCAAAAGTACATGAAGTAGTCGGTCCACGTAAAGCCCCGAAGGTTTAAACTAAACCTAGACCACTTGAAACAGGGTTTAGGGTTCTGTTTGAGTGAGTCAGTAATCGTCAGAGTTTTAAAAAACCCTAAACATGAGTCAGCTCCTTTTTACTGAAACAAGTAAACAGAACACTGTAAAAGTCATTTTGAGATGCCTTGTTTACTCCAGCTCCAGTTGTTTTGAGATTTTGAAAAAAAAAATGGCTCTTACTATCTGTTTTAAATGATAGTCTTTTGAAGAAGCCTTAATCAACAACATAACTATATTTTTAAGGCTACAATTCTAGGTGATTATAATTAAATTATTAGGTCCAGTTGTTTGATGTTTTTTTGTTTTTTTTTGTCACTACTTAATCTTTAGTTCACAAATTAAGTGTATTTGAAAGAAAGAAAATCAACTTTTGCTGATTAACTGTATAAACTGGGCTTATGGGGTACTGTTATAATGTTACTGTGCATATTTTCTGTTGTTTTGCTTTTTTGCATTTCATATTACACCTTTTAGCTTTAAAGTATTTGTTTGAAACCATTCTAGTGCTGCTTTAAGTGGTTGAACAGTGGCTATTGTAGTTGAATTTTCTTTTTGGTTCAAACAGTGCATGCTGGCTCAGGCTTTATTCATCATAGCAGCGGTTGTGGTATAAATGCACCTCAGTAGTGAGTCATCCTGTCCTCTGCTGGTTCTGGGCTTTGGTAAGCAACCGCCTTGAACTGAAAAGGTTCAGCCACCTTGGAGACTTTGACCCCAAAATGCAAACATGTAAATGATTTCCAGAACAGACGTTTGGGACCATGAGGGATGTAATAAAAAAAAAAAAGAATGTTGAGTTAAACCATGAGCTGGAGACATGCATATAATGAAGGCTCTAGGGCGAGATCATTTGTAAGGTTTCAAACAACAGACCTCTTCTACTTCTTTTTACTGTGCCAGGAAACGCCTTCAGCTTCTTACTGAAGACCCTTGCAAAAAAATCCATAATGCTCCAGAGAAAAAAAAATGTATGACAGCTGGAAAAAAGCAGTGGATTCTGGAGCTGCTCCAGACCAGAGATGACACCACATCCAGCAGCAAAACAGATGGAAAAAAACACACCCATCTTACTGCAGTTAGGAAAGAACACATTTGGCCAACAAGAGTCAGCTCTTTATTTCAGTTTAAAGGACAGACTTTTCTAAACATACCAAGCAACTAGTCAAGAATCACAAGATTAAATAAGCTGTAGAAATGACACTCATAAAATAAAATCAGAGTTGTTTTCTTCTTCCCATTTTCCTATCCTTGAAGCCACAATCTATTCCCATACAAATTATATACATAAAATACACAAGAAAACTCAAGAGAATTCAAGAAATAAATATTTCTTTCCTACCAAATATTTTCACAAAAAAAAAAAACTTATAAAATCCATATTAGATAAGAATCATTGAAACTTAAAATACATCTCTGATCATCCACCCTTCTGCCATACCTTTCTGTAAAAATTAATTTATCTTACGCCTATCAGGTGTATTTATAGGACAAAGCTTTATTTTGCATCTGTTAAAATATTATCCAGTGTATATAACACTTTTTTTAAAACTTGTACTACAGAATTAGGCCAAAACTCTTGCATAAACTGGATTTATAACCACTCTTTATTACCACAGCATTTTAAACCGACTTGAACAAACTGTTTTTAAATAAGTTTCGATCTTTATTCCTTTCAGTGTTTTTATATGTGTATGAAAGATATAATTCTCAGACAGCTTGGCTGAGGAGATACTTTATCTCTGTCAACAGTGAGGGACTTCCTGGTTAAATAAAGTAAATCAGCTCAATAAACAACAACCTTTTATCCAAGGAGCTGATTTTCAGGAAGGCAGTCGTTTCAGTTCTGTTTTGGCACGTTGCTACAGAAAACCACCAGATCAAAACTGTTCATTTCCTTTTCTCTGTCCTGTCACAGATTTAAGTAGAGATCAGACTCATCGAGAGCTGTTTTAAACGAAATTCCGTTTTCTTTACAGTCTTGTATACAAAATGACAAAATAAATCTGTCTAAGTCTTGTTAGGATGTAAACCCCCAAATTCTGGGCTCCAGTTGAACCATCTGTTTAATCAGTAGTTTGTCTTTCTTTGTGTGGGTATTTCTCAGCTTAGTCTTTAGTAATCATACACAGATTTCTCCAGAGGTCTTTTTGATATATGACAAAGATCCCCCAGAGGTAAGGTAAGGTATTCATTCCTCATTCATTAAAGATGTTTATAGAAGAAAAATGGGCGTAGCATCACTACAGTAAAATCTTCCTGCTTTTTATTTCTATTCGTAATAAAGCGCTTCCTTAAACAAAGTGTTTTTCAAGCTGCACCACCAATGGGTAGATGAATATGACCAGCTAGATATGATAAGGAGTCAATGAACCCTGTTTCCTCCTTTTTTCAGATACTCAATCTCCCTACAGTTAATGAACTTCAGCAGCAATGAAGCATTTCATGAGTCTTTATTCCTCTGAGTGTCCAATCTTTCAGTTTGTTTGTTTGATCCCTGACTATTCATGTATGGACATGCATGGCCTCTTTTCTCTTTTGCCTCCTGCGCCTACACAGCAGAACAACCAGCAGAATCAGCAGCAGGAGTCCCAGAGCCCCCCCGATGAGGCCCGCTGTCAGAGGGAGGCTGCTGCTGCTCGGCTGGTACTCCATACAGGACTTATTGCTTTCCCCAGCTTCGTTTGCAGCGACCACACAGACCTCCGCTTTGTGGTCTATCTGGCCCAACACCGCGCTCCTGTGGTCCTCCTCAAACATCTTCTTCTCTCCTCCAACTGTCACAAAATAAGCTGTGATAAAGGAATTTGGTGCACACCACTGAACTACAACTTCTGAACCGTTCCAGGATACAGATTGTAGCTTGGGAGGTTCCGGACGCTCATTAGGCAAGGTGGAGCCCTGGCAGAGGCAGCCAGAGGAGGCAGCCAGTTCCTCACAGCGGGGTTGTTTCTCACGGCAGGGGTCGTAGTCGCACCTTTTAGGAATTCCAGTATTAGTAGGCACTTTGATCAGGTCAGAAGAGGTGGATGTATCATAATTGTAATCAAACGTGGCAAGGTCGGGATCATAAGGAGGTATCCCTGTCCCTGCAGGTGTAAAGGGCAGTGGACAGTGACCCCTGATTGAAAGCAGACATACGATCACGAAGGGGAGGGGCTGATTCCTCATGGCAGGCGATGAGCTGGAAGTCATAAAAAAAAAACTCCATCAGAGGATTTCATAAGCTGCTAATATTATTAGTGTTTATGAACAAACAATTTCCTCTACATTCTTTTTTGTTTACATAACCTGTAATCTATCCATCATATTTCATTTTATGATATTTGGATTTTATGTGACAGACTCTAATAAATGTAACTTACATTAATATACATCCCTTTTACATTTAATCCTCTTTAATACAATCCACTGCATCCAATTTTCTTCTGCAAGTTTCTAAGAAGTAAATGTTGGAGCACTTTTAAATCATCACTGCAAAAATTGAAATCTAAGTAGGTCAATTTGTATGGAAATAAGTATATTTTACCTTATTTTAAGCAGATATGTAAGACAATTTGCCAATAGATGAAGATTATTTACATTTAGAATACAAATAAAAAAAAAAACTACTTCATTATCTTATTTCAAGAGTATAATATCTAGTTATCTTATTTTTAGGCTAATAATACTTATTCTATCTGAAGATCACCCTTTTGCCAGATCAAGTTAAGAGCTAATACACCAAACTGCAAAGATTGTATTTAAATGAGTAAAAATGGCTTAAAATAAGTGTATTTACCCTTAATATGAGTAGAAAAATAAGATGATCTGCCAATGAAATTAGCATTTTTACCCTTAGAATAAGATAATTAGATAATATGCACTTGAAATAAGAGACTGCGCTTGTTTTTTACTTATTTCAAATGTAAATTGTCTTATTCCATTGGCAAAGTGTCTCATTTATCTGCTCAATTCAAGATAAAAAAAACTTAGTTTAAGAAAAAAATAAAATTACGTACTTAGATTTACATTTTTGCAGTGCACCAGACCAATTTTTGCAGTGAAGGTTGAAAGATGGTACAAATGCAAACCTACCAAAACTGGGCAAGGAGATCAGGATTCAAAGCAGCATCAGCAACAGCCAGATGCCCATTGGAAAAGTTTCTTAAATAATTGTATTTACCCATTTGAGCAGGTTGCGAAGATAAACGGACAAAGGACAAAGGATATTTTTGCCCTCATACAGTAATTATATAGTCTCATATTACGCACTTGAAATAATATACTGATTTCTCTTATCTGAGAGTGAGTAGTGTAGATCACTTTGAAACCCTCTGACTTTAAAAAGTTTAATTCAATTGCACATCATATACACTTTATCACGCAATGGTAAAGTCTAGGGCTTTTAAATTCTGAGGCAAAGATTAAAATCTGTTGTTCAGAGATGTTTTCATTCCAAACTTATAAAGCTTGACTTATACTGAACAAACTAAACATCACATTTCAGTTTCTATATGTGCTGATAAAGACTTGCTGATAAAGGTGAATGCCACACTTTTCTGTTTTTCATTCATAAAACAGTTAACATTTTGAAAAATTTTTCTTAATTTTGCTCTATCATTATTTGTCGCATCAAACACTAAATCAAAAGAGAAATTACTTTTCTTTTTAAGCTGTATATTTTATATAAAATCCTGATGAAATACATTGAAGGTTGTGTTGTAAGGTGACAGAAACAAGCTAAATGTTTTTATACATTTGCAGACTTTTGTGCATTAAGGACTTGGATTCAGTTTATCTGTTATGGAAGAGCCTTAAGAGGGACAAACTGTTCTATTCCTTGAATTCCTCATCTGTAACTAATTAAATGGCAAAAAACAGAACAAACAGCAACAGATAAAACTGATTATTTAATGACAGGTGGATTTAATGGACCAATAAAAAGATCCCTATGCCGTTTCAACAAATAATGTTGCACTATTTTGGCGTAAAGACGTAACAAACCAAGGACTCTTAATTAGCTGAAATGTATGACCCTGTCTGTGTTTTCTTAGTGATTTATTGACTTTTTTACAAGATAATTCAAGTAATCCTCATTTGTAAAGATTTGGAGCTGCTTCAATCTTAATCAGCATTCCAGGGAGTATTGCACAACTGGTCCAAATGCCTGCACACCCAAGCAGAGAGCAAAGCCTGGTCAGCTGGATCTGATTACAGGAAAAAGGAGGCATGGAGATCCCACATAAAGTGCACCTAAAACATGACCTGGCATGAGCTTTAGGAGAGAAATCATGTTAAACCTCATTCTAAAGGTTCTCTGATTTAATTTCCTCTGACTGTAAACACAATGAAAGCAAAGCAGGAGGTCCACAGGAATAACAATCTGCTGTCTGTTTGTGGTAAAGAAACTGCATGCATTTATAATAATAACTGAAACTATGCAAACCAAAAGGAGACATGAACTTACCTGTTGCTTTAGATTGAGATCTTGACCTGAATGCAATCTGAGTTCCTTTGCTTCACTTCGCTTTCCTCTGACTCCCCACTTTATGTTTCCCTCCTGCCCAACAATCGCCTCCTTCTTATTGCCTGCCCCCCCGCCTCTCATTCCCAACCCCATGATTCCAGCTCCACCTCTTTTGCCTAACACTTAAGCGTTGTCATTGAGTGACGTTCATGTCAGCTGGTGATTTAACCACAGTCTAATGTGAGTTAGATCATCTATTGCATTCAGATTAGGTGAACCAGAGAATGTCTGCTCACCCTGTTTAACAGTCTGCACATTTTTCAGAGCGTGTCTCACTTGTTAATGAAGTTTGTTCTCCTTTTTTGGAGAGGATGGAATATTGAATGGCCTTGATTCATTAAAGCTCATCAAGTAGGGGAAGAACTTTTCTACCTGACTGGAAATGAATGACTAAACGTCATTAAGGCCTATAAAGTTACGCACAAGTTCTTCAAACAGCTAGAAATGAGTCTGAATTTGTTCCATTATCAAGGATAAAGTTCATTTAGGACCCAAAGGGACAGTTTCTGAAACATCTGCTGCAGAAGGATAATCTCCCGCCTTCTTAACCCATGCTGTGTTGAGATAAACGTAGGGCCTTGTTTACTCCAGTTCCAGTTGTTTTAAACTTTTTAATCTCTGCACTCTCGAAGCCTTTAAATGATAAAAATACATCTCAGAGTCATGATAAAAAGACTTCACTATACTTTTACTATATATTGAAATTTAAGCTATTAAAGAATTAAAACTAGTTAAAGAATTAAAGCTCTTTTACTCTCTAAGTGTTTATACTCCTTCAACTATTTAACAATGTCTTAAAACCACCAACAAACTGCCCATTTTATGCTTTAGGACTCAAGTTCCAAACATATCAGCAACTTTGAGCCCAAAAAATGTGACAGACACGCCCGAATAAAATACATATATAATAAGACACATTAATTGTGTAACTCTATATTTATTTATACATATAAAGTAGTTATACTAATTTTAAATAAATGCATTTTTCAAATTATTTTGTGCCCTTTACAATTTCATTAAAATATTTAATATTTAAATCATGTATTGCCCCCTGATGCCATCTTGCCTTATTTATATGAGCTTGTTTCTGTGTACAAGTTTCTATCTTTGTTGGTCTTTTGCATTTTTATTGTGCTCATTTTAGCTTAAACATTTTTAATAGTGTAAGGTAAATAATACATTTTACTTTTATTCTTTAGGGTGACTTACTATCTGTCTATAGGAACTGCTTTCTGGCTGGTCATAAATGTTTATTAATATGGACTGTCCCTGTATCAAATCAATAATAGTCATAAGAAAAATGAATTGCTCTAGTGCTGTTGCCTTCAGCAAGAAGGTTCTGGGTTTGAAAGTGAAGTTATTTTATTTAAATACATGTATTATTTTTTTTTAGCAATAAACATTTAGTTTCAACTGGATAAAAAAAAAAAAATTTATTGGACATTTATTTCTTTCATTGTGCATTTTACAGTATACTGGTGTATTTAATGTTATGTATAAAAATGTTACAGCTACTTATTTTATGTGACCTCCACATTTATTTACAGGTGCTGGTCATAAAATTAGAATATCATGAAAAAGTAGATTGATTTCAGTAATTCCATTTAAAAAGTGAAACTTGTATATTATATTCATACATTACATACAAACTCATATATTTCAGATGTTTATTTGGTTTAATTTTGATGATTACAAATGACAACAAATGAAAATCTCAAATTCATCATATCAGAAAATTAGAATATTGTGAAAAGGTTCAAAATTGATGGCCCCTGGTGCCACACTCTAATCAGCTAATTAACTCAAACCACCTGCAAAAGCCTTTAAATGGTCTTTCAGTCTAGTTCTATAGGCTACACAATCATGGGGAAGACTGCTGACTTGACAGTTGTCCAAAAGACGACCATCGACACCTTGCACAAGGAGGGCAAGACACAAAAGGTCATCGCTAAAGAGGCTGGCTGTTCACAGAGCTCAGTGTCCAAGCACATTAATAGAGAGGCGAAGGGAAGGAAAAGATGTGGTCGAAAAAAGTGTACAAGCAAGAGAGATAACCGCACCCTGGAGAGGATTGTGAAACAAAACCCATTCAAAAATGTGGGGGAGATTCACAAAGAGTGGACTGCAGCTGGAGTGAGTGCTTCAAGAACCACCACACACAGACGTATGAAAGACATGGGTTTCTGCTGTCGCATTCCTTGTGTCAAGCCACTCTTGAACCACAGACAGCGTCAGAAGCGTCTTGCCTGGGCTAAAGAGAAACAGGACTGGACTGCTGGTGAGTGGTCCAAAGTCATGTTCTCTGATGAAAGTAAATTTTGCATTTCCTTTGGAAATCAAGGTCCCAGAGTCTGGAGGAAAAGAAGAGAGGCACTTCATCCACGTTGCTTGAAGTCCAGTGTAAAGTTTCCACAGTCAGTGATGGTTTGGGGTGCCATGTCATCTGCTGGTGTTGGTCCATTGTGTTTTCTGAGGTCCAGGGTCAACGCAGCCACATACCAGGAAGTTTTAGAGCACTTCATGCTTCCTGCAGCTGACCAACTTTTTGGAGATGCAGATTTCATTTTCCAACAGGACTTGGCACCTGCACACAGTGCCAAAGCTACCAGTACCTGGTTGAAGGACCATGGTATCCCTGTTCTTAATTGGCCAGCAAACTCTCCTGACCTTAACCCCATAGAAAATCTATGGGGTATTGTGAAGAAGAAGATGCAATACACCAGACCCAACAATTCAGAAGAGCTAAAAGCCACTATTAGAGCAACCTGGGCTATCATAACACCTGAGCAGTGCCACAGACTGATCGACTCCATGCCACGCCGCATTGCTGCAGTAATACAGGCCAAAGGAGGCCCAACTAAATACTGAGTGCTGTACATGCTCATACTTTTCATGTTCATACTTTTCAGTTGGCCAACATTTCTATAAATCCTTTGTTTTTATTGGTCTTCAGTAATATTCTAATTTTCTGATATGATGAATTTGAGATTTTCATTTGTTGTCATTTGTAATCATCAAAATTAAACAAAATAAACATCTGAAATATATGAGTTTGTATGTAATGTATGAATATAATATACAAGTTTCACTTTTTAAATGGAATTACTGAAATCAATCTACTTTTTCATGATATTCTAATTTTATGACCAGCACCTGTATTTATTTCATGGCAGATTTTGACTCTCTGTTTATTTTAGGAAACACATGACAATGATCTGAAAACCCATATGTGATTTCCCCACTTTGTCAACCTCTGTTTTAGAACAACAAATAGCGTAGTTAAAGTGAAGGGCACATGATCCATTAAAGTATTTAAGCAGTGTTTGTCACATGTCTCTGGGAAACTGAAAACCTAACCTCCAGTTATTTCGCTTTACTCTTCTTTGAAGGCCAGAGTAGTGCTTGACTGATCCAGTGTTGTTTTTTACAGATTCTCTCCCCAGAGTTGTGGACCTTTGAAGCTCTTGCTTTGTTGCTGTGGGCTTCAGGGTTCCATAACAATCAAGTGTGTTTTGACATTAAAATCATAATTACAGCTGTACTTGAACGATTATATACCATTCCATTGAAGACAGGGGAAGAAAACAGCTGCCAGTAAAATAAATGAAAATTGACTAAAGTACTAAGAAATAAGAAAAAAACAGAAATCATGACATTGATTTTGAATATATGCATACATGTCATTTTGCTGCCCTGATAGTTTGTCTAATTGCTCACCTCACACTGGTCACTAATTATCGTTCATCTTATCCACCAGATCCTTCTGCTTTATAAACAGCTCAGTTCCTCTATTGGGGGCAGATCATTGTATGTTTGTTTGTGTGAGTTTTTAATTTTGGTTTGAAATCGTCCCGTTCTTGGGGGCCAGAGGTTAGACAGGGTTATTTATGGTGTCTTGGTGTTTCCTGATCGTGTCCTGTCTATTATCCTCTGAGCGCGCCCTGTTCCTGTTTTGGCTCAGTGGAGTGAGGCAGTTTAAAGTTCCGTGGTTTTCCTGATGTCGTGCCTTGTTCTGCCTCCTAACTGCTGAGCCTGCCTGTTCTGCCAGAACTCTCAGTTGGAGACTTGGAATCCTGAAGCTGCATGAACTCTCTGTGGAGTCATAGAACCCTGGATTTGCCTGTTCCGGTTCTGATCAGAGCCCCTGACTTGGCCCGGACTCCTGCCTGTTCACTGTGGCTGCTGCATCTGCTTCACTCTGGGCGGCTCCTGCCCCATCCCATTTGCAGTCCATCGACTAGATCCTGCCTAATTCAAGAGGATGGCCTGAACTGTTAAACATGGTGACTCACACGGATAATCATTTTCCGTCAGATTATCATGGTCATTTACCTGTTTCACCCTCAACCAGAGTGTCAGTGATGGTTGGTGCCCCACCTCCCTCCGCAGCCACTGCAGATCCACTTTCTCTTTCACTTTCTGTTCTTTTTATTTTCATAAAACCTTTTGAAACTTCCCACTTTCTGTCTCGGCTGAATACTGGGTCCTACATTCTGAGCTCCTTGACACATACTACATATGTAAATATTGATTAGTATAAGAAGTAAACAACCCTGATGGAGCTAATGACCTAAAATTTTGAGGCATTCAAGTTCAGGTTTAGTTCACTCTTCATCAGCAAGGTACTTTTATTTGTCAGGTAAAGTTTCTTTTTCAGAATTACTTTTTTTGCTAGATTATCATTTAGTAAATTTGCATTTATTATAAGTTTTTCAAGTTCTGTGCTATTTGAATTACTAGTGTGAAATGATCACTTTCTTTAATGGGAAGGCATGTAAACTTTCAAGCACATCTCTAATTTTCTTCAAATATATTTCTTTGACACTACCAAGCAAAAGTAGCTTTCAGCTCCTCTTCTTTGTTCTGACAGATTATATAGATAAAAATTAAGCCAATTTTTCATTTATAAACAGACGGAAGCTTTTTTGATTACCAAAATACCAAAAAACGATAATAACAACATAAGCCAAACAAAAGGAGCAACCGGGAAAACTTTTAATTTCAATTTAAAATAGAAGTGAGGGGGTGAGCTTATAGTTTATTTAAACATTCATTTTTCACCACATAACTCTTT